GCTCCCAGATGCCGATACTAGCGAAACATGCCCGTGTTGTTGTTGATGCTGGTGTTGAAGAAGAATAATAATTTCCATGTCTTACAAATCCTTACCTATTGTTGATCCCCCTGCCTGGTAACCATCTATGTTTCTGTTAAAGTGCGTATCCTGGGGCTCGCACTTTGTTTTATAACGGAGAGCGAGGGGTCACCAAGCAGCGTTGTTGAGTCCCGAACTACAACAACAATAGCAACAATCATTTTACCCTCATGCGCGATGTTTCCACACGAAGCATGCGACCATCATGATAACCATCTACATCATGGGGCACTCTTGTTCTATAGCGGGGTCCGTTGTTCCCATTCCCAGATATCCCGCCCGATGAGGTCTTGCAAACATCTCCTCCGAGGAGTTTCAACACATCCCGCCTCAAAAACACAAGCCTGCGCCTTGCTGCGCCGATGCGAGACCGCCAGTGGAACCCCAGCGAAGGGTAAAGCACAAGGAAGTATCGAACGACAGGATTGCCTTGGTGGGGATGGGGGCTGTCGGCGGTGAGGCAAGGGCCTGGCCCTGAATAGAAAGGGAAGAAGTCTCGAGCAGGGCTGCCGTTGTTGCTGGGAGCGGCGCCAATGCTGAAGAGAGTAGGGCGCTAGTCCAGCATAAAACAAAACGACGTCTCGAGTGGGAACGCTGGTTTTGTTGGGACGGCGGCTTTCGGCGGCGAGGAGGAACACCGCCTTGAGTAAGAAAGGGGGAAGTATCGAGCGGGAACCGTGGTTTTGTCAGGACGGGGGCTGTCGTCGGCGAGGAACAGCACCGTCCCGAGGAAAAAGAACGGACATCTCGAGCGGGAGCGATGTTCTTGCTGGGAGCGGCGCCAATTCAAAAGAGAGTAGGGCGCCAGTCCAGCGTAAAACGGAAGGAAGTCTCGGGCGGGAAGGCTGGTCTTGTCGGGACGGCGGTTTTCGGCGGCGAGGAGGAACGTTGTTTTTGCTGGGGGCGGCACTAGTGCGCCAGTCCAAGGTAAAACGTGAGGGAGTCTCGAGCGGGAGCGCTGTTTCTGTTAGGACGGCGGCCTTCGGCGGCGAGCAAGAACACCAGCCCTGAGTAAAAAAGGAGGAAGTCTCGAGCGTGAGCGTTGTTGTTGTTGTTGTTGTTGAATATTATTACTTCTAAAGAAATATTATTGTTGAGACCCCTGGTGCGCGACCCCCCTCCAAAACCTAGGCCGCAGCCTCATTTCCTTCATTTTCTAGCGAAAGCTTCAGAAAAGTGGATTGTGTCCGGATCCGGTTGTTTTGTTGTAATCCGTTTTCCCTTGCAAAAAACACTATAAAATGAAAATTCTTGTTCTTACTTGATCAAATTGCAAGAATCCCTTGCAAAAAATAAGGTAAAGTGGACATTCGTGCGCGCAAGACGAAATCCTTCCAAAACCTTAGGTTTCGTAACGATTTTAACATAAAAACATCAAAAACCCAATGGTTTTTTAAGAAAAAATTGTCAAAATGTCCTTCCGCGCGCGCTGTCCGAATCCCACAAAACCAATGGTTTTTCAACATTTATGTTACATGAGCTCGCGCGAGCTACTTTTTCTTGTTCTAACATAATCAAATTTCAATAATCCCTTGCAAAAAATAAGGTAAAGTGGACATTCGCGCGCGCAAGACGAAATCCTTCCAGAACCTTAGGTTTCGTAACGATTTCAACATAAAAACATCAAAAACCCAATGGTTTTTCAAAAAAAATGTCCAAATTTCATCCCGCGCGCGCTGTCCGACTCCCACAAAACCAATGGTTTTTCAACATTTATGTTACATGAGCTCGCGCGAGCTACTTTTTCTTGTTCTAACATAATCAAATTTCAATACTCCCTTGCAAAAAAAAGTAAAGTGGACATTCGCGCGCGCAAGACCAACAAAAAACACGACGATCTCAGGAACTTGCCCCAAAAATGTGACCAACTCCGCTCTCTCTGTCTCTCTCTCTGTCTGCTCTCTGTCTCTCTCTCTGTCTGTCTGTGTCATGTATTGTATGTCACAATTGCAGGATGCTGGGCACACGCGCGCCCCGAATAAGTGACCAAGTTCTGTGGGTGTGTACCCCACGCCAGTGTAGTAGCCACGGTCGTCCGCACGCCACGAAGTGAAGTGTCCCAACGTCATAGGGCGGGAAGCTGGGTTTGGGTGGTCGCGAAGAGTCGTTTGGATATTTGGTAGAGCTTGAACTGCCCCCCCACGAAGTGGGGGTATTGTCTCGCGTCGCATGAAAACCCTGGCACTGGTGAGAACACTGAGCGTTCGGGTAAAATGATTGTTGTTGTTGTTGTTGTTGTTGTTGTTGGAGGGCCGGTTTTGGCGGTCCCCCAAGCCGCTCGAGCGTGAGCCTCATTTTCAATGAAAATGTAGCCGGCGCCTCGGCGAGAGCGCCAGGGCGCCTTTAAGGAGTCCAGCAATAATTAATAATTAACATTCAACGACATAGGCTCCCGCCTGCTACTTCCTCACAAGTTACTCCAAAGTTGCGCTCTCGCGCGGGGCTTCCTCAGAATGTCTGCAGGAATCGCGCTCTCGCGTGGGACCACTCTCACAATTTATTCAGACGCCGCGCCCTCGACACTCCGGAGTCACGCTCTGGCTGTGGATTTCTCACGGTTTACTTGGGAATCGCGCTATCGCTTGCTCTTTCCTGGCGATTCATGCAGAGCGCACCCTTCAGCAACCCGCCTGCTCGACTTGACCAGTTGGTTCCGCCTTCCGACCCGCCCGTCAAGGCCTACTCGCCCGATCTGCCCGTCTGGTTCTGCCACGTGATTTCGGCTCCTGGCCCCCTGCTGCTCTCTCCGTCCTCGCTTCCCCTGCCTTGGGGGCTGCACGAAGTACACGTAACCGGGAAGAAAGATACCCCCCGAGGGGGTACGATCGAAGACGAAGAGGGCTGTTATCGAGGGTTTGGGATAAGTGGCACGCGAGCAGAGAAGAGCGAGCAGTCTCAAAATGGTTATTGTTGTGTTGCTGTTGTTGTAGTTGTAGTTGTTGTTGTTGTTGTTCTTGTTGTTGGTGGTGATGTCGTTGTTGTTATTGTTGTCGTTGTCGTTGTTGTTGTTGCTATTGCTGTTGTTATTGGTATTGCTGCTGTTATGGTTGCTGGTATTGGTGTCGGTGTTGTTGTTGCTGTTGCTGTGATTGCTGTTGTTGTTGGTGGTGGTGTCGTTATTGTTGGCGGTGGTGTTGATGGTGTTGTTAGTGTTGTTGTTTGTTGTCGGTGGTGGTGGTGTCGTCATCGTCGTCGTTGTTGTCGTTGTTGTTGTTGTCGTCGTCGTTGTCGTTTTTGTTCTCGTTGTTGTCGCTGCTGTTGTTGTTGCTGCTGTAAATGTTGCTGTTGTTGTCGTTGTTGTTATAGTTGTTGCTGCTGTTATTAAAGTAGTAGTAGTTGTTGTTGTTGCTGCTGTTGTTGTTGTTGTTGTTGTTGTTGTTGTTGTTGTCGTGTTCGTTGTCGTGGTTGTCGTTGATGTCGTTGCTATTGCTCTTGTTGCTCCATAGAGCATGCTGACGATAGATTGCCGGGGATTATGTTCACGCGGTGGCGCCCGGGATGATGATGCTTACAGGCCCTGGACCAGGCAGCTATTAGTCGAATCGTTCCCCTCTCATGGTCGCCATGCGCGAGGCAGGTCCTTCGTGAGGGAAGCCGGCCCTATACCCGCGGGTGCTCCCCAGGACCAGCTCCTCCTCCCGAGCTCTTCGTTGGTTCCCAGGGGGCACAGAAGCGGAGGCTCGGGGAAGAAAAAGTGGCATAAACATACAAATTCGGAGGTCCGCGCGGATGTCTCGGATCGGCGCTGGGGCCCCCCGGCGGCGCCTCCGGCGCCGCCCCTGGCGCGCTCCGCGCGCCAGGGAGGGGGGTCCAGCGCCGATCCGAGAAGTCCGCGCGGACCTCCGAGTTGTTATTTTTATGTCACTTCTTGCTCCCCTAGACTCACTTCCGGGACCCCTCTGCTTCCAGGACTGGCCTCCTTCGTGCGACTGCTTCCAGCAGCCCCGATCCCGTCCCGGGTCCACAGTCTCCGGATCCTTGGCTCTCGGCGTGTCGTGCCGCCGGTTCTGGCCCTCCGCGCTTCGGCGCCACACGCTGTCCACTTCTCGGAGGCGAGCGGGGGGGGGAAGTGAGAAGGAGAAGGCCTCCTCAGAGGGCGGCGGGACTTCTCAGAAGGCCTCCGGCCTCCTGAGAAGCTTTTTCTGCCCTCAGGAGGGAAAGCTTGGAAAAAGCTTCTCAGAAGTCCCGGGAACTTCCGAGCCTTCTGAGAAGGCCTTCTCCTTCTCGCTTCCCCCCGGGGCGCGCCGCCTAACCGTCGCTGTCTTCCAGGCTTCGACGTCCCGGGCTCTTCCAGTCCCCTCGCCGCCCGGAGCGGAGCGACACGCGCTATCCGCTCGCCGGGCATGGCCGGCACGGCACAGCGTGAGGCCAGGGCCGCTGCTGCGACAGCCCAGGTCGGGGAACAAGCAGTGGATGGCATAAGCATGAGCTTTCGGAGGTCCGCGCGGAGTCTGGAGTTTTCGAACCGGCGCTACTTAGACCCCCTCCCTGGCGCGCGGAGCGCGCCAGGGGCGGCTCCGGAGGCGCCGCCAGGGGGCTCCAGCGCCGATCCGAGGAAAATGCGCGGACCTCCTAAAGTGCATGTTGATGTCACTACATGCTCCTCGATTAAGCGAACTCTCCCGACCGTAACCTCGATCCTCTCCTCCATCCTCTCCTCGATCCTCCCCCGTGCGAAGAGTCGTAGATCGGCAGACCCGTCGCAGTCCTCCCCCCCGCCGCGGGTCAGGCTGGTGCTTGGTCCGCGGGGGGGGGAGCAGGACAAGGACGAGGACGAGGAGGACGAGGACGAGGAGAGGGGGGAGGAACAAAAACATGAGTGGTGGGAAGAGGATGAGGGGGAGGCGGGGGAGGGGAGGAGATAGGAGCAGGAACCGGACGGCGACGGCCACGACGACGAGAGGACGACCCGCCGCGGGTCAAGCCGCGCTTGGCCCGAGACGCTGGCGCGCGGCACGAGCCCCCGCGCCGCCACGAGGCCTCGCACAGGGCCCAAGCCACGCGCGAGCGCGGGGATGCCCAGCGTGGAGGACGCGATCGCGCGCCTCAGGCGGCACAACGAGGGCGCGCCCAGGCCCTCGCCGGAGGCCCTGGAGCGGGCAGAGGAGGAGGCGTTCGCCCGGCTGCAGGAGCGGTGAGGCTTCGGGCTGCGCGCAGGCGCAGACAGCCCTCCAAGGCAGTCCCAGCTGGCCCGTGGAGGCCAGCTGGGACTACATTAGGGGGCTGTCTGTGTGCAGCCCAGAGCCTTCCCATGCAGGAGCGGGAGCGGGCCGACGCGGAGAGCCGGTGTCCATCCCGAGGGAGGAGAAACGGCGCAAGCAGAAGTCGTTGCGCGACCCGAGCCAAGCCTTCGGGTCGGTTTTGGGAGGTCGCCGCGGCGGTCGCGGTTGCCACACAGCGGGCAAGTTTTTGGTCAGGAGTGGCGTGTTCTTCCCTTCCCCCCCTTCTGCGATGTAGGCGCGGCCCATAGCTCACAGTTAACCTACAGCGACAGGGCAGTACGTTTTTGGGTTAGAGTGAATGATCACGCAACCAAGCAACTTTCGGATGTCTGCGCAGATGCCTTGGATCTGCGGTGGGCCCCCCCGGCGCGGTCCGCGCGCCAGGGAGGGGGCTGATTGGAGACATCCGTGGGGATCCCGGAGAAGTTCTCTGTGTTGTGCCGTGTTCTCTTCCTTCACCATCGCTGCGGTCCATCCCGCGCTTTTACGAGCGGAGGGCCACGCCCACGGATGACTCCACCTCGCTGCGGTTCCGTGTGCAGCAGGAGGCGCGGAAGCAGCTGCTGTACAGGAAGACGCACGAGGAGCTGCTGGACGAGAGCGACCTGCACGCGATGCTCAACCTCGTGAGGGAGCGCGCTCAGCTGCGGGACAGGGACGGGAGAACCCCGGTGGAGATCATCGACTACCCGGCTTTCATATCCATCTCTGAGGAGAAAAATTGCATAAGCATACACTATTTGAGCTCGCCGCGGATTTCTTGGATCGGCATTGGGCCCGCCTGGCGGCGCCTCTGGCGCCGCCCCTGGCGCGCTCCTTGGGCCCAATGTCGATCTAAGAAGTCTGCTCGAACCTCTAAGAGTTAATGTATATGCAGTGTTTTCTTCCTCTGCCATCCGCGACGAGCTCCGCAAGCGCGGGGAGCGCTTCGAGCAGTTCTTTCTGCCCTCCGTGTTCCTGAAGTTCCCGCGCGACCGGTTCGGCTGCATCGCCATCGTGCCGTTCTTCACCTTCGTGGTTCGCAAGGTGAAACTGAAGCAGACCCGCATCCACCTGAGCCACTACGACTAGAAAGGCTGCGCTGCCGCGCACCTCCGCCCGCGCGCCGCGGGGCATCAGCATCGTCTACCCGATCCCCGGCCCCACCGGCCCGTGGTATCTCAGCCTCGCCAGCCAACCCTCCCAGGCCGGATAGGTCCCGCGAACCCCCAGGGGAGCAGATATCCCCAGGGGGGTAGGTCGGCCAGTGGGGCCAAGGCCACGCTATAGTGAGGCTAGGCATCGGTGCAACGATGCTCAGGGAAGGCCGGCGGGGGGAGTTCAGGAGAAGCCGGGGCGCCCCTCTTTGTTTTCATGGCTTGCTGCTCTGCACCCGCGTGCCCCGTGGGCAAAACAGAGCACATGGGGGCTCGGAGCAGCAGCTCGGCGCACGTGCTGCGCTCGACGGCCTCGGGGGGTCGATGGGGGGTAGCGTGTCGTTTCGCTGGGGGGTGGGCGGCAGTTCCTCGAGAGAGCGCCGACATGCACCGAAGGCGCGTGGACGGGCGGCGGGCCACGCCTCCGTGCACAATTTGGCGCGCTCCGCCGCCAGACCCGTGGCGGCACTCGCGCCCTGATCCGGCAGGTGCTGTGCCCGACCCGTGGCGCTGGCGCCCGCGCGCCAGTTTCTCAGAGCCCCGAATCATCAGGGGTAACTCGGGTCAGGGATAACACGGGTTCCTTTTTCGGGAATCCAAACCCGAGTTACCCCGGACCCGAGTTACCCCGGATAACTCGGGCGCCCAAGAGCCCCGAATCATCAGGGGTAACTCGGGTCAGGGATAACTCGGGTTCCTTTTTCGGGAATCCAAACCCGAGTTACCCCGGACCCGAGTTACCCCGGATAACTCGGGCGCCCAAATTTCACAGATCCTCGGTCCCTGTGGGCGTGCGCCCGAGTCTTCGATCAGTGAGGGGCCCATCACCACCCCTGGCAGCAGCGCAGCGCGGCGGCGGACATGGGCCGTGGCTACCTGAGAGAGAAGGACATGGAGAACTTCATCTTCGAGCTCATCCCGACGCTGCCGCAGCTGAGCTCGCTGCAAGAGGAGTTCTACCCGTTCTACGTTTTTACGGCCGTGAGGAAGTTCTTTTTCTTCTTGGATCCCAAGCGGACGGGCAAGATCTGCATCCAGGAGCTGCTCCTTTCGCCCATCACGCAGGAGCTCTACGAGCTCCGGCAGGAGGCCCCTCTCGGCGCCCAGGAGGCGGAGTCCAATTGGTTCAGCGTGCAGTCCGCCCTCAAGGTCTACGGTGCGTACCTCGAGCTGGACACAGATCAGAACGGGATGCTGATCAGGGAGGCCAAACACAGGTCTGTACTCATGGCACCCATCCCCTCTGGAGGGCTGGAGTGGAAGGGTAGACATCGGCATAAGCATGCGTAAACTGTCAGGGCTCCTGCTGACAGCATGCAGCATGTCCTGTTCAACTGTGACGAGGTTCGCTGTCGGTTTTCAGAGGAGTGTGTGCGGATTAGTGGTGGGCGTCGTTTGTTGTTGGGTGTCGTTCCCTATGATGTTTTCGGTCGCGCCAGTCCTACCATCCTCCCGGCTCCCGCCCTGTCATCAGTAGTCATCCTGGGAGGGGAATGAGGGGACGGGTGAGGAGGGCGCATGAGTACAGAGCTGTCTTCGCCCTCCCGTCAGCAAAGCGGAACTCATGAACTACGGCAGCGGTGCCGCCATGTTGACGGATGTTTTCATACAGCGGGTGTTCGAGGAGTACCACACTTACACGGACTCTGAGACGGGTGAGCGAGAGATGGACTACAAGACTTTCCTTGATTTTGTCCTCGCAATGGACAATAAGAACACAAAACAGGCAGCGCAATATTTCTGGAAGGTGATTGACATTAATCATAATGGTGTTATCGACGGATTCGTGATAAATTATCGAAGACGCCTATGGCGAATCACCGCAGCCTCCTGCCGGTCTGAGTATGCCGATGTGGTTACTTGTGTGAGGCCAAAGTTTGGCCAACTGTTGGTATCTGTGGGGGCCTGGGGGCCCGTCTCGAGAAGATCTCGCGGGCCTCTTGGGCCTCTCTTGAGGTCGAGCATCTCACAGTGTTGAGCTCATGCGGTGACGCTAGTTGTTCGAGGGACCTAGCCTCTTGTGCCTTCAAAGCCACGCAGGGGGCGCCGAAGACGGCTTCATGACGGGCCCTGCAACCATTGTAGGCAACAGTGGAAGTGTGTAATCCCGACCGCGCTCTCGAGGCATCCAGAAGATCACCCCAAGAGCGCCCAGGATCACCCAGGCTGGCCCAGACATCAGGGGCCCAGGGGATTACAATAATACTTGCAATGCCCAGTGCAGAACATTGGAAGGGACCTGAGGACACTTGACATCGTGCCTGACGGCACGGCGGCGGATTTCTTCCGGGCAATCTTGAGCCTCTTGGAGACCAAGAGATGCGACGTAGCATCCGTCGACGATGTTAAAGATGAGATATTTGACATGGTGAAGGCCAAAGATACTGGCACCATCACTCGGCAAGAGCTCCTGAACTGCCGGCAGGGTGGCACTGTGCTCACCATGTTGATAGACGCGGCAGCCTTCTGGCGCTACGACCACCGGGAGAGTCTCCTGATGGAGCCCGCCGATGACGACGATGCAATGTAGCAAAAACGACGACCTGCTCCCTGTGCACCTCCTCATCCGGTTTCCTCCGCCCGTCCTGCGGCAGAGGCCGAGTTTCGACATGCGCCCTCGCCCCAGAGCGAGGTGTGTCGAGACTCCGAGACAAGATCGGGGGAGCGTAAGACCCGGGTTTGCCAGGCCTCGGGTCCGCCATCGTTTTTTGACGACCGCGCCCCGGATTTTGACGAGGAGGAGTTTCGTGGGATGTCTGCAGCGGGAGGCCTCGTCAAAATGCGGGCTCGGCCTCGTCATTTGTTTGACGACCTCGTCTGGTATTTAGGAGGAGGAGGAGGAGGAGGAGGAGGAGGAGGAGGAGGAGGAAGAGGAGGAGGAGGAGGAGGAGGAGGAGGAGGAGGAGGAGGAGGAGTGCGGAGGAGTGCGGAGGAGGAGGAGGAGGAGGAGTCCCCCTGACAAGAGCCGCTTCTTGGCTCGGCATGGGCTCCGGCCTTCGGGCCGCTGTGATCCTCTGCCGGCCGCCCCACGGGCACAACAGGGAGGGGACGACCTCGGGGCGGAGCTCCGTGGTCGGGCCCTGCTTCCTCGACAAGCCGCCTCCCTTTCTTATCAGGAGGGGAAGGAAGCGCGCAGACACGATGCATCGCCGATCCCCAGGAAAATATATGGGAAAATAGGGGAGGTGGGGGGGAAGACAGAAGCCCAGAAGATACAGGAAAATACGGGGAATCCTCTCGTTTGTTTGTATTGATTTGTGTGTTTGTGGGCCCCGTCGTATTCGGCCGGGGAGCCTCTTCGTGGCCCAGGCTCGCCGTGAACGGGCAAGGCCCCTGCGCTCCTCGGCATCTGGCCTCCCCCGTGGCAGCACGACGCGGCGGTGCGAAGGAAGCTCGAACTTCCGAGGCGGGAATCTGTCCATATCCACCGCCCGGAGGGTCAGTCTTCGGAGCCTCGGCAGGCGGCGGATGTGGACATGTTGGGGCCCCCAGGGGCCGAAATATGTCCATATCCACCGCCCGCTGGGCCCCCAGGACGTCGGTTCCCAGGCGGTGGACATGGATGAATCCCCGCCTCGCAGAACTGTCCACTTTCCCCGGTGCTCCCAACCCGGCGGCCCGTTTGGCATGGGCTGGTCGCGGGGTGCCCCAGAGCGGGGCAGACCCCGTCGGTCGTTGAAGTACATTTTCCGACCCTCGGATCCCCACCTACTGCAGGCCCCTTCTTACTTGAAGGGCCGGGTGGGATCGATTGCTGTCGCGTCTTCAAGGTGGAGATCCTATCTGCTTCCAGCGCCGTCCTGCTTAGATTTTCTGCCCACTTCTTCTGGTCGATGGTTATCCTCCTCTTGACACGGTTGGGGCGTTGGTTAAGGAATGTGCCCATGAGGCTTCAGACCCTGCAGGATTCCATAGCTGATGAGGGCGGCGGTGAGATCCATGGCCAAGCCACGATTGGAGCTCCGATGGCTTCCAGACACTGGATTCCTTATCCAATGGTTCCTTGTCAAATGTCCTCCCCGTACTTTGAGCTGCCCCGGACCCCCCCAGTTGTCCCCCGCCACAATTGGTGGCGCTGGCAAATAGGAGTGTCGCAGATGCGGCAGACAAATCATCGATCTTCCCTGCCCAGCTCGAAAAAACATGGCCGAAACCGAGGGAGGCGGGCCCACAGGCGAGCGCCCGCGAGTTGGTCACGTACTCGGGCGGCTGGGTCTTGTGCTCTGGGCTGCCGAGCTGCGCCCAGGTGTCGCTCTTCGCTGCGACCGTGAGGGAGGCCGCTCTGATGGCCTCCTCCGTTTCTTCAGCCGCGAGCGGCAGGCCTCCCGAGGCTCGGTGCTCCTGGCCAGGTTCCTGCTCCCCTCGGGCAGGTGCAAGGAGATGGCCTGCCTCCAGGCCACGAACCATGATAGCCCCGTCGTCAGCACGGGGTGCCTCCTGGGGCCGCGTATTGTTCCCGTCACCGTGAGGCCTGGCCTTCACCGAAGTCGTCGTACCCCAGGTCGATGCAGTGCTCTATCCCCTAGTCGAGATTGCTGAGTTCATCGAAGTCCGCTTCCGAACCGTCAGAATGAGCGCCAGTAGGAGTCTGTGCATCAAATCCTTGCTTCTCAATCTGGCCCCCTTGGGCCCCTTCAAACGTCGGCGCTCCAGGCCGTGTCACCGGTGTCGAGGGCAAAGCCGTAGCCCTCGAAGTCGGCGCTCCAGGCCACGCCAATGTTGGTTGCGTGCATATGGAAGAACTGGCAGAATTCGGCCCTCCCTCCAGCGATTCCCCGAGCTGGGATCCCGTCCCTCGCCCACCCCAGGCGAGGCCACTTGGCCCGTCCACGTCCTGGGGCTGCGTTGGGGGTGCCGTCCAGCTGGAGGTCTCAGCCCTCTCAAGGTCGGACCTGGAGGGAGAAAGAGGCGCAATCGCAGTCCATGGAGCCGCCGTTGTGGAAGACCCCGCCCCCGAACGGCTCGTCCATGACCCCGCATGGGGGTATGACACAATCTGGTAGTGCTCCCATGATGGTGAACACCTAGTTTGTACCCCGACACGGGAGGCCACGTCCTTCAGCTGCGACGCGCTCCTCCTTCTTGCCGTCAAGGTCTCCTGTTTGACTCTGGGTAGCTTCTTGCCGCCTGGATGCTCCCAAACCTTCCTGTTTGGCTCGCCTCTGCGAGCGGTTCTTGTCTGGCTCGCCTCCGCGCTTGCTAAGGAGAGGAGGAGGAGGAGGAGGAGGAGGAGGAGGAGGAGGAGGAGGAGGAGGAGGATGAGGATGAGGATGATGATGATGATGATGATGAGGAGGAGGAGGAGGAGGAGGAGAGATGAGGATGAGGATGAGGATGCGATGAGGATGAGGATGATGATGATGATGATGATGATGATGATGATGATGATGATGATGATGATGATGATGATGATGATGATGATGATGATGATGAGGATGAGGATGAGGATGAGGATGAGGATGAGGATGAGGATGATGATGATGAGGATGATGATGATGATGAGGAGGAGGAGGAGGAGGAGGAGAGTGAGACGGAGGAGGAGAAGGAGGAGAAGGAGGAGGAGGAAGAAGGTAGACTAGGAGGGGGGGGGAAACGGAGGCGAAGGAGGAGAGGATGGGGTTGATGACCAGGAGAACAACGGCGAGGAGGAGGAGGGCGAGGAGGACGAGGAGGATGAGGGAAGGGAGGAGGGCAACGACCGACGCGGGCAGGGAGCTCCAGCTGTCGCACAACGAGCTCGACGCTCAGGCGGCCCCCCGTGCCTTTGGCGGCGTGCCCCTCCTCTCGGGGGCGTCCAAGAGGACGACAGAGGCTTGCGGTGTGTGGGCACGGTCGAGAACTTTGGTTAGCGTGCCGCGCCGCCAGTTCGAGGTTCGAGGTTCTCGGTCCAGGAAATCGTTTTGCTTTTGTCGGTATCCGGGGGCCGTTTTCGGACTCCACGACCATAAAAAACTGATCCGAGGTGGAAAGCTGCACCAGATGGACCCCGGGACGGGTCTGGGGAGCGATTCGTTTACCGCCATCCCTGCTTTTCTGTAGGCCGACTTCTTCGGGGCCAAAGCCAGCTGCGACCCCCCCGGTCGCCTCCCCGAACAGATACGTACGGTCAGGCGCTCTGGCTTCGCGCGTCGCGCCGCCGGTTCCGGCCCGCCACGCTTCGGCGCGACGCGCCAGCGAGCCTCTCCGAGCCTCCCGCCCGCGCAGCGGAGCAGCGCGCTGCCCGCTTGCCAGGCATGGCGTGTCGCTGGGGCCGCCGCCGCGGCACGCTGTGCAACGAGCTCCTGGCCGTAGCCATGGCCGGGACACGCATCTCCCAGGAGAGGAGGAGGAGGAGGAGGAGGAGGAGGAGGAGGAGGAGGAGGAGGAGGAGGAGGAGGAGGGAGGAGGAGGAGGTTCGGCCACGTGCAGGGAGGAGGAGGAGGAGGAGGAGGAGGAGGAGGAGGAGGAGGAGAATTCTAATTTTGACTCTGATTATATACAAGGCGGGGTCCTGCTCTAGGCAGGCCGCTCCATCAGCTCATCAGCCTCGATCGGGGAAGACAGTGCCAGACTTAGGTGGCAGTCCCCGAGACAGACGAGACAGCACATCACGCCCTTCTCGCAAGGGGCATGGCCCTCGGGCAGGGTCACCGCACAATCTTTTAAGAATGCGGGGAGGTGCGGTAGCACAGTGACCGCCACAGATTGTGCAGTACAGAACTCCACGAAGGACCGCAAGGCAGTGGGAGGAGTGACATTGATCAGCCAGAGGATGGTCCAAGGGCCCCCCACACACAACGCCGACTCCGCCAGGGCATCCGCGGCAGGGTCAACGGTCGCCGTCGCTCCATCCCGCGGAGCTAACAATTGGATCCGTTGCTGGAGGATGCATCGGGGCTTGCGTGGATATGGCCAGGATTCAGCAAGCTGGCCTCGCACACTGAAACTGAGCTCGCATCGATCACGTCGAATGCTCGCACTCCGATCGCTCGGGCAGTGGCCAACATCTCGCAGACGGCACAAACGTTCGGCGAAAGAGGGGGCAACTCCGCGAGTTCGGCGCGGCTCGCGGGGGCCTCCTCTCCTCGCGCTCAGAGGAGAACAACACCTCCCGCTGCAGTGCCAACATCCGTTTCGAAACCTGCATCGCCAGCACGTCAGACCGCAGAGTCCTGCCTACATCCTCATCACACAGCTGTCCACGCTGGGCAGCCCAGTCGGCAAAGTGGTCAGCTGCGTGGTTGAGGCGGACTTCAACGTCCGAAAGAAACATACTGTCGGCCTGAGCTTGAATGGGGTGACCATTGGTCCAGATCAGATTGAGGGTCCCCCCACGCTGTGGCAGCACACGGTGGTATTCGGCCCAGAGGCCGAGCATGCTGGATTGTTCTTGGCCTTCAAGATTGTCCTCGTTCCTCTCACCGTGAGCATGCAATCGCAGTGCATTCGAGAATCTCCAGGGCTAGCACGGTCAAGGTGTAGAAGGGCGAGCAGCTTGCCTCTCGGTGGAGATTGCCTGGCGCCTGGCTAGGTCCCACACCGAGCAGCGTCGATTCTACCATCTGGACCTAGGGGCACGAAAGACCAGCCACACCCCTGAAGGACCCAGTCTTTCGAATGCTTCCCTCTTGACCCATCGATGCCCCAGACACCCCCAGGGATTGGCAGCTCCTCAACGCAGCGCCCCCGATCCCAGGCCAGGTCCTGCGGTGGAGGAAGGTGCCCCAGGGAATCGACCAGGGAGGGGAGGCTCCGACACCAAACGCCAGCTTTCGCTGCCAAGAACTCGGTCTCCCCAATGGTGCGGTCGGGGATATCACGGTTGCATTCGCATGTCCAGAAATGGTGAAGCAAGGTCCCAGGGAACCTACCACAACGACAACACAAGCCATTGTTGGCAGAAACGTAGCCAGCGGAATATAGACGGTCCTCAGGCGCCAGGCACCAGCAGTGATAACGTTGCGCAAGGCCCCAACCGACTCATGCTCCCCGTCTCTCGCAAGCTTGGAGTGATGCCTACGCAAACGGGTAAAATCCACTCTCCCAGCGAGTCCATCTCTGCAAAAAGGTTTCGACGCTTGACCCCAGGACAGACCAGAACACCTTTCCAGGAGGGAGCTCCAAAGCAGGAAAGGAACATCGGCATAATGGATCCTCAGAACTCCTTCCTCGGAACGCCAGGGTACTGGGGAGACAGCATTCCAGCCTAAGTCGCGGATCGCCGCGATCGTGGCTGCCATCCGCTTTTTTAAATTATATACAACCGATGCGTGGTTTGATCCATCATGTGCCCTACCTGTTTCCAAACGCCAGCGCAATTCCTTCGTAACTTGTGATCAACCTCAGCCCGAGCCATAGCAAATCGATGCAGCTGCTCATGTCCGGGACCCGCGCATATACATCACAACCGCGGGCTGATGTTCTGTCATGGGGGTTGATCGGATGATTGTTTCGGCGGTGGGTTGCAGGGTGCGTGGGCGTTCGCGGCAATGATGCGTCGCGCGCGCAGCGTCAGCTGTGCGCGGGGTTGCGCGCGCAAAGAAAACATCGCATGCACGTGGTGTATATTTCGGGGTGGTGTATAACATTCCAGGGGGTCCATCGTTGTTGCGTGCCACATCCGTGCTGCCATAAGTTGTTTGGGGGCAGTTATTCGCGACCGAATGCGGCCGCCATCTGCGCGCATGACCACGTGGCAAGTACTTGCGTTTGGCGGGGGCAAGCAGTGGCACCCCTGCCAGGGCGGTCGCGCGCAGGACTGTGTCCTTTCCTATGGCCGCTTGGCGGTGGCGTATATATAGGGGCCCCGCATCATAGCGAAGCCTGAGCCGGGGACCACCCTTCCCAGGCCCCAACGGCTTGACAAGGGTGGCGGCACGAACCCTTGGAGTCCACGACCCAGAGCACGCGGCGGCCTGAGCTCGCGTGGATTGCGCATGCCCAGAGGAAAGCCCGAGGATCTCATGGCCCCCCGACCCCACGGCCAGGACCCCTGCCATGTACATATTGGCAGTGACCCTACGAGCGCGCAGCTGGCTAACGTTGCGGCGGGCGCCTGCAGAGGACATGGCCCCCAGATCTCGAACCGCATCCTTCCACGCCATGGGTGGGCGCGCGCGCTGCGAACGCTGCGTGAGCTCTGCGCCGAGCTCCTTGTGGGAGCACACCATGGTACTTTTGTCTGCGATAGGCGTGCCAGCGGCCTCCAGCTGGTGGCGCAAGTGGATTGCAGCAGGCACTAGCTGCGAAATGATCTCGTCGCGGTGCCGTGCTGCGCCTGAACAATGCCATCTCGTTGCCCTTGGTGCGCGCTGCCAGGAACGAAGCCTGGGCCTGGTCATGCATGTCCTACGAGTATATTTTAATGCGCGACATGGACTGGCCACAGCCAGGCAACATGCTTATACCCCAGTTGGAATCAGGTCAGAAGTCGCCCCTTGGACCTCGAGGACCAGCGGAGCTTCATGCAACGCAATCCCCACGCGCAAGAGGAACAGGGGGGTACTCCATCTCGCAGCACATCTAGCCAGGCGGCAGGGATCAGCTGCGCCGAAGAACTTCTCAAGTTCCCAATCCGCACCGACAGAGCAAAGCCCAGTGCATCTGGCCACTTGATGGCCCCTCGGCGAAGCGCGACTTGCAACGCAGAGGGGCCACGTGTGGCCATGCCCCAGTGACTCACTGGGCGAGGGGCCGATCTTCGATGAGGCTACCATTGGCCTCATAGTAGACTCGATGCAGCGTGGGACACATGCGAACGGGGCGCTCACTCTCAGCAGACTTGGGTAACATCGCCATGCTGCTGAGCATGATCTGAGTCGGCCACGCCAGCCGACGCTCGCACAGATGGAGAAGGTGGGTTAACCCAAGCACCGCATCAGGCGGAGGAGAGACAAGCAGACGAGGAGGCCACTGGTCCACACCGACAGCAGCGCCCTCGCGAAAAAAGGCGCGGCTCGTTGCGCGCCCCCTGGACCGAGAGGTTCCGAGTCGCCAAGAGATTCTAAAACCAAGAGTCTGCGGGCATCTCAAACACCAGAAAGCTGCTCCTTTTCATTATCCGTGGCTTCCCCGAACTCACCCCGATACTCCTCGCGATGCCTCGTCATGTTCTCGGGGAGCTGGCGCGCCCCCTTAGTAGGCGCCGCAAGGACCTCGAGGTCGGCACCTCGATCGAACTCCAGGCAGGAATGTGCGCACTTAGCCCCTCGCGGGAGGGCCTCGATGAGCCGCTGCCTCGTGCCGGCCTCAGTCCCAGCGCGGGCGGCGCTCCGCGCCTTGGTTAAAGTGGGGCTGATCGCATCGGGGAGATCATCGAGGGGGGCCGGTCCGTCGTTCCCTGATGCGGGACCCTGGGGCATGCTCGTCAAGCGGGCCCGTCGCCATTCTGGGTCGCGGAAATCTCCCGCCACATGATGCTCAACAACGCGGTGGGCAAGGCCAGCCAATATACTCGCCAGCGACAGCCTCCACCCGCAGAACGTTTGAGACACGTGGGCCCAGAAACGCATGGACGGCTGCCGAAAACTGTCGCCGCGCGCGCCGCGACGCCCGTCAGCGCCCAACTTGAACGTGGGGAACACGTTTTTGGAACGCATTTTTGGAGCCAGCTGGAGGGACATGGGCCATGGCTCAGTTGAGCGGAAGATCGGGACAAATCGGAACCAGAGATTCTGGGAGAGTTCCAAAGAAAAATAGAACGCCGAATTGTGGAGCGCAGCGCGCGCATTCGCAGAAGTTCCCCAAGGACTTTTCGAGGGCTTGAGGAGCCCAAGTAACGCATGGGCGCTCAATTAAACTGTTGAGGGCGGGCAGAAAAGCTGGTGTGCACGAGCATTGGGAGCGGGTGCGCGGCTTGCACGGGGGGCGCAGTAGGTTTGCGTTTCAGGGGCTTGGGCGCTGGCCGACGCGTTGATGGGGGGCCCGAGAGTGCGTCGCGCATATTACGCCTGTGGCGCCATGGAGGCCGCGTGCGCGGTTGCAGTGGGGCGGGCGCCCCGCCGCGCGCACCGTCGCGACAGCTCTCTTGGGCGCCCGCCCGCCGCCGTGGACGTAGTGGGCCCAGCTAGTCTCGCGGTCGGCGCGCGGCGGGTCGGCGGCCACGACGCTGGCGGCCTGAAAATGCTTCGAAAGTGTTTCTCCCCGAGCCCGGGGCTATTGCACGTTTTCGGTGGCGCGCGCAGCTCGGAAAATCGGAATCGCCTTGTCTGTCGGCGGCCAGTTGGCTGTCGTCGCGCAGAAGTACCGGCGGATGGCGCGGTCCACGCTCAGCGCAGAGAGCGTGTCCATGAGCGTGGACTCGTCGAGGGGCAGGAGGAAGGACCTCGCGGTCGGGACCATCGCGGCCTGCGATGTCCACGGCCCCCACCCTCGGCGCGTGAGGACCTGCTGGGCGCCGCCGCAGGCCGATTTCAGAGAATCTCGGAACGGGAAATCCGGGCGCGCCAAATTTCGCGGGCCGAAAAACTCTCAGAGAGTTTCGGCCAGCTCCGAGGTTTTGGGTTTATGGGAATGTTTCGCGCGGGGTGTCTAGTTCAGAGATTTTCAGAGATTCTCAGAGAAGTTCGGACGCGAGAATTTGGCGCGCCCCGTTTTCTGGTTCTGTGAATCTCTGAAAAGCGGTTCCTCAGGTTTTACCGGATCTCCAGGCGTCCCACTGTCAGCCAGAGACGAGCGACTGGCTGGCGCCGCGCCCGATGCTTCCGGAGTCGCGAACTCGGTCCTCGATTCCTTGGGGCCCGCGGGCCCCTGGGCCAATCGCGAGGTTGCCGAAGCCCCCGGGCGGTTGCGCGCGATTGTCTCCGAAACCGGAGTTGGACATCCATGGTGGACGCCCGCGCGTGCGCGCTAGGTGTCCGCGAGATGATTCGGTGGCGGATATTGCATGGTGCGGGGGCCTTCCAAAGACTTTCCGGGGTTTTCTTTACGGTTATTTCGGCGCGCTTCGGGGGCCTTGGGGCGGCGCGGGGAAGTCGCCAGGCCGCGCGCGGGCTCTTTTTCCAATGCCTTCTCGGGCATTCTCGCGGTGTTGCGTGGCCGAGGTCACTGAGTACTGCGCTTTTTGACATTTCCAGGTGTTTTTCGTTGCGTTGGTTGCGTGATTGTTTTGGCGGTCCGCCTCTTTGGGGCCCCCTTGGGGCCTCAAGTTTGTTTTGCTGACGTCGGGTCTTCTGGAGTGAAAGGCGCTTGGCGCTGAATTCCCTCGGGCGCGCGCGTGGCCAAATACGCGCCGTGGCCCCATCTGCGCCGGGGCGCATTCCTTCCCTCGCGAAGCCGATGGCGCCCAAGGCGTGGCAGGCCCGTTCGGCGGCGCCCCCGGTGATTTGAAAAACCGAGCATGATTTTTATCCCGGTCAAATTTTGCCCCGA